GTGTATTAGAACAGGACAATTTCAACAAAGGATATATATCGCAGAAGTAGTGATCGATCTCATTGGGGCCACAAAATGATAAGAAGATGGTGAGAAGAAAGTGACTGGCAGAGTGAATGAATCCCCCAGTACAGCAAGCTGCGACGATCGTGTTGCACTTTCGCCTGGTCATGATGACCCTGTAGTGCAGGGGCTTGCAGATGGCCACGTAGCGGTCATAGGCCATTCCCGTGAGAATGAAGATCTCTATGGCTCCAAAGAAATGGGTGGTGAAGAGCTGTATCATGCAGTTATTATAGGAAATCGTCTTCCTTTCTGCCAGCAAGTCTGCCATGAGCTTGGGGGTCACCGTGGATGTATAGCAAAGGTCCGAGAGGGAGAGGTAATTGAGGAAGAAATACATGGGTTGTTCAATTAGCTGACTGCACGTGATGGAAATCATTACGAGCAAGTTTCCCACCCAAATAGCCGTGTAGCAAAATAAAAACAACACAAAGCACAGTGTTTCCGAGTTCTTGTTTTGGGAAAGCCCCAGGAGAATAAACACAGTGACGTTATTGTTTCTTCCCATGGTCCAGTGTAGATGGAACACCCAAATCACCTGAAATGACACAATTTGTGAGATCACATGTGCAAGTGGTGTTGAGAAGTATGATGATTGTAATTTTTTTTGTTTTAGACAGTCTCATTTTGTCACCCTCGGTAGAGTGCCATGGTGTCACAGCTCACCTCAAACTCTTGGGCTCAAGCAATTCACTTGCCTCAGCCCCCCAAGTAGCTGGGACTACAGGCTGCTGCCATGATGCCTATCCATTTTTTAGAGACAGGGCCTCGCTCTTGCTCAGGCTGGTCTCTAACCTGTGAGCTCAGGCAATCGACTACCTCAGCCTTCCAGACTGCTAGAATTATAGGCATGAGCCACCACACCCAGCCCTGATGATCATGTTATATTCAGGGAACCGACTGGGTTTAATTTACCTCACTCAAGTGTCTCAAAGAATAAAAGTCTGGTATTCCATTAAAATGACTCCTTAATAAAAAATCTCTGGGTGCCCTCCCTGCACTTATTCAGCCCATTTAATCAATCCCTGCCTCAGAAGGCATTAATATTTCCTTCAATCGTCAGTATTAAAACTTTACCTTAGGCAACGTCTATTTACAAAGCCTGATGCAAAACACAATGATTCTTTGCAAAAAGATGTCGATTTTACTCTCGGTTCCTCAAAAATCTTTCAGAGAACGAGTCACACAACTATTACTTTTTCCTTTGAGTACAAGTAAATGTAAACTTTCAGATGTTGTTATTGGAATATACATTACCTTTCATCTGATTTTTCATTAGGTAGCATGAAAAATATCATTAAGCAGATAAAGATGGGAAGTTGTCTCTTCAAGAAGCTGGTATAATCATT